GATTTCCTTACTTTGACATCTAGAAACAGTCCAGGTCTCACCACTATAGAGAAAGGTGCTGAAGACTGTCTTGGCATTTTTTTTCTAAATGCTTTCTCTGGCAATATTTCTGACAAACTTCAAAAGCTGTTCAAGAGTGAACTCTGCTTTCCAAATGTGAGTATTTAACTAAGCAAGAGAGCCAAGTTACCAGTTGCTGTAGGTTAAAAAAACCTGTAGAATGTATTAAGTAGCTTGAAGGGTGTTTGGCCCGGTATTTAAAAGAGCCTGTGTAGCAGCTTGCCCCACAGCTATAGTTTTCTAAACAGTTATGTGAGAGGAAATGCAGAGAACACATGTGAAAGGCTTACCCATGCGGGGTTTTTTTAAACATGTTTTCATGTGTGGCGAGTATGGTCTCATGTGATCAAGATGACTGATCAGTCTGGGTGCAGGATGAGTTTGTAGGCCAGCTAACAGTTGTCCCTTGGCCAGACTTGGCTGAGGAGCAGCCACTTGCCCATCATGGGATTCAGTACAGTTATTCATATTCAGTCATGCTGAATTTCTCATTCCCATTATGATGAGACTAGAAATGGAATTTTGGAAGGATAGAGATGCCTTTGGTATATTTCACAATCTTTAAGTACCAGAGGTCTAAATTACTCTGGATTGCTGGGTTCTGCTTGTCTTTTTGCAGTGGCAGCCCAGCTGCTTTGATTTCGCTTGCTGGCAATAATGTACAATATTGAAGCTAGGCACTCGGAGGTGAAAAGCAAAAGCTCGAACTCTGCTCATCTTTTATCTGTGGCTTGGGGGGTGGGGGAGAATCCTTACTCAATTCCTCATTGGTCCGAAGTGTGAGTTTTTCTTATGTCGTGCATTTGTATAAAACCCCTTGTATGTGCCCTTGTCTTGGCAAGCTACTTGTTACCTCTGGTCCTTCATTTTTCCTAAGGCCAGTTGATCATCTTACAGTGATTAGATGGCCCTGCTCCAACTGGGTGCTCTGTTCAAATTTGCAGCATGGTGTGACATTTCCAGCGGTTTCAACAGGGCCCTGCTGAATGTCTCCAGTCCTTGCGAGGGCCTCAGCTTCATCCTGCCTGAACAAAATGAGCATTGATACTGCTTTCTGGGCCCAGCCACATATAAACAGAAAGGCTTTTTTAGTCCCTCCAGAGCCTGCTTGAGGGGGAAAAACAGGACATGAATCGCAACATCAAAGGAAATGTAGTTTTCATGGAATCTCACCTGAGAAGGCATCATAGGGGCACAGTTAGGGGGAGGGTCTGTGCTCCTGTCTACCTCGGGCTCCAGGGCTGTGTCTCCTGCTTGGACTGTCCTGGCAGACAAGTCTCTGCTGCAGGAGGGAGAAGCTAATAGTGGGGGCAAGGGAGAGTCTGGTGGTGCAAAGGCCCCATTAATATTGGCCATCTATGTGTAATGCTGTCCCACTAATGGGCCAAATCCAGACTGATAAGGGAAGAGTGAACTATAAGGAAGCTCAAATGGGAGTAGAGGGAAGAGAGTTTTTGAATTCTGGTAACTATTTTCCGTATGTTGCAGACTTTTCGTTTATTGCATTGTCTCCCTGGATGATTTGAGAAACTTGATCCCATTTCTCTGTGCAAGGCCTATTTGAAGAAACTAGAACAAATTGCTATTAGATGAGCAGGAGGTATTTGAAGAAATGTGTTGAGTAGAAAGCGATCACGTTTGAGCTTAATGAATTTACCCCAAATTATGCAGTCAGAGGGTTTGTTATCATGCCCTTGCAGAACAAAATTAATCCTACTTAAATTGTGTGGAGTTGAGATGTGACTTGTAGCTAGATTTATGAAATCGGAAAAGAAAGAAAAAATCAAGTTGTGTCCCCCAAAAGCTATCTTATCAAATTTCAGACTAATAACTATGAATATATATTTTTTGCAGCTAAGCAGGATACTTATGGCATCTTAAAAACGAAGGTTCTGCACGTATCAGTTTTTCTACCGGCTCAAGCAGGGTGGTGGGGTGCCCTTTGACCCTTAAACAAGACTCTGCATAGGATATGTGGCATATCCACGGTCAAAAAATCGTATAGTGAGGAGAGGAAGGGAGTATGCTAGCAGAGCAGCTGATGGGATGCAACCCTAACATTTTTTTTCCTAGCATAAACTTTCATGGACATTTCTTTATGCATCTGGAAGAGTGGCCTGTAATCTATGAATGTTTACACTGAAATAAAATAGATTCATGTTGGTCTGAAGTAGCAGAACAAAGTTTGAGTCCAGCGGCACCTTTAAGACCAACAAAGTTTTATTCAAGGTATACAGATATCTGAGGAAGTGTGCTTGCACATGAAAGCTCATACTTTGAATAAAACTTTGTTGGTCTTAAAGGTGCCGCTGGACTCAAACTTTAGTCTACTGAAATAAAATGTTGGCCTTTAGTTGGCTTCTGAGGACCATAGTCCTTTTCACCAGATGCATGAAAGTGAAACTTCAACCAGCAACATATATATATAGAGAGAGAGAGGGACAAGGAGGAGGAGAGATGAAATGGAACAGTGGTGTTAAAAAGGATTCCAGTAGGGCAGTCATGTTAATCTGTTTCAGAAGTAAATATTTGCCTCTTCCCTTTTGTGCAGCTTCATCCTTATGTCTAGACCAACATGTCCCCCCCCCCCACATTTAGCCATTAGAGAAAACTCAGAGTATATTTGCCCACCAGAGCACCCAGATATAGGGTCTCCAATGTCAGATTGGGAAATTCCTGGAGATTTGGGGGGTCTGAGGAGGGGAGAATCTAGGGTTGCCAACCTCCAGGTGGGGCCTGGGGATCTCCCGCTTTTACAACTGATCCCCAGCCGCAAGAGATCAGCTCCCCTGGAGAAAATGGCTGCTATGAAGGGTGGACTCTATGGCATTGTACTATGCTGAGGCCCCTCCCCTCCCCAACCACCCCCTCTCCTGGCTCCACCCCCAAAGTCTCCAGGTATTTTCCAACCCAGACTTGGCAACCCTAGGAGGACCTCAGTGGGGTATAATGCTATAAAGTCCACTTACAAGGCAGCCATTTTCTCCAGTCATCTGGAGATGAGGTGTCATCTGGATATGAGTTGTAACCATGGTTGTCAACGCCCCCTGGTGGATGCAGGGTTCCCTGCTGCCAGGTCCCACCACCCCACTACCAATCAGCGGGCTGGCAGGAGACATACTAGGAGAAAGAGGAAGGCCCAGGCCATGTCGGCCATATTGCCCAGGAAGTGATGTCATCATGCCAGTGATGTCCAGGCTACACTGTGGTATCTGAGCCAAAAGCTCTGTGGTAGAAGCCATTTTACCATAGAGCATTTGCCCAAATACCAGAGTATCACAACCTGATGACATCACTTCCTGTGTGACACCAGTAACATGGCCTGGGCCTTCCTCTTTCTCCTGGTAAGTCCTGCCCATCACCTGCTAATTGCCAGGAGGGACCTGGCAACCCTGGTTGTAACTCCAGGAGATCCCCATGCCCACCTGGAGGTTGGCAGCCCTACCCAAATAGAATGTTTCACCTAGATATTTTATCAATTTGTGCATATTATCACTGTAGAATGTAAAGTAATATTAACATAGATTCATATTTGGCATTAGTGCAAACTATTGATAGATAAAAAGGAAAGAGATGGTCAAAAATAAGGCAAGGGAATGATGGTGACTCAAATTTCTGCTGAACGTTACAGACTAGATTAGAGGTGTTCAACTCATTTGTTACGAGGTTCGTATCTGACATAAATGCCACTTTGTTGGGCCAGGCCATGTGTGCCATAAAATGTAACATGAGGTACTGCAGATATTAAACTTTATAAAGATGATTTCAGATGTCAAATGGCAGTAGCAGGCTTGACTGGATTAGGTGTGATATGCAGAGGGGTAGTAGGTGTGGAGATCGCAGCATTGATAGTGAGTCAGAAAACCTAGGTCTCAATTTGGTACAGGAGGATTCAGTCCAGGAGGATGCAAAGAATAAATGGAAATAAGTTTGAAGAAGTGAGCAGTGACTCAAAAAAGCTCATACCCTACCACAAATTTTGGTAGTCTTTAAGGTGCTACTGGAGAGCATTCAGTTGCTGACCTAAGAGCAGCAGTTCTCTTACAAAGAAATTTCAAAGGGAGATCAGAAAAAGAGACTGATGAATTGCAACTGATCATGAAGCTCAAGACAATGCATCCGCCTGCACTGAATTGAGACCTACGTTTCTTCTCTCTGCTCTTGTCATTTGGCATCTGAAATCACTTCACTCTTCAATGGACTCACATTCTAACTGTATGTGAAGAAGTGAGCAGTGACTCATGAAAGCTGATGCCCTGCCACAAATTAGTCTTTAAGGTGCTACTGGACTCTTGCTCCCTTCCACTAATAAAGAATGCAAGCTGTGCTGTTAAGTCCCCCCCCCCCGATCTGTTAGAACGAAAAACGAGGGATCTCTCCAAGTGCCATGGGACTCCACCCCCCACCCCCCGATGAAGTGTGCAGGCACACAAAAGCTTATACCTGGAATAAAACGTTGTTGGTTTTAAAAGTGCCGGGGGACTCCATTTTCTCTCTCTTTGGTTCTTTCCTTCCCCCTCCCTCCCTAGAGAAGGGGGGAGGAACCCTCAGCCAATAGATGGAAGGGAGGCTTGGTTTTCTTCTTTTCCTCTGCAAAGCAGGAAATACAAGAAACTGGGCAAAAGGAGCTGTGATACAGGGAATAGGAAGCAGCAGAGAGCCAGTAGCTCTCCACCCGGATAGCAGCCCTGCAGGCACTGGATCCAGCCCACAGGCCATATGTTTGACACCCCTGAGCTAGATGTTCAAGGACACTTGAACAGCTCTTTATACTTTATCCAGTAGGGAGCGATGCTGTTCATTCTGTGCTGTTGTACAGAAAGATGAACCTGAAATATTGCTGAAAGAGGCAGGAAACCTTTGAGTATCTCTCAGCACAGCAAAACTGCAGGGGTGGGTTTGGTGTGTCAAGAGACTAACTGGACTTGTGTTTGTTCCAGCAGAATACCCCCAAGGACCCATCCCTACACTGTGGAATGATCCACCAGAACTGCCCTCTGGAGGGGGGCCTTTAGAAACCACCACCACTGCTCGTTTCTCAGACTCTCCAGGATTTCCACCTTATACTTCTGATTATGAACCAGAAGACACCACTCATCTCCACCAACTTGAAGATGGGAATGGTATATTCCTTTTTTTAAAACAACAACAACAACATTGCTGTGTAAACCATAAATGCCACCAATACAGACCTTATTATCATGCATTTATCCACATGGCTCCCCTTGGCATTTTACAATATCTCTTTGTTCTAAATAACATACAACTGATGTTCTTGGTGTGGATGAGCAGCAGTGTATGCAGAGGATACATTACTTCAAAGTTACTGACAGATTTGTGGCACAATTGTGCAAATCGTGTATTATTTGCAGGGTTGGGGCAGGGGGAGGATGCAAACCCAGACTTATGCTGTGAATGAATTATCTGGGCTTTTTCACCATACTGCTTCTCTCAGTCCTTGTTTTAGGCTTTGTGAAACTTCCAGATAATAAGATTTCTGCAACAGAAACCAGAACTTTTAGATGTAGGAGACTCAAGGACCAGGCTTATCCCTGAATAAACAGAGCCTTTGGGATCTTGCTGTATCTCAGTTTCGATCTTTTCATTTATAGCGTACCAGTTCTCTATTTTACACACACATCCCTCATTTATTCTTCATATCTCTTCCTTTTTGTTTCCTAATTCTAATTTAGTTTGAAGTGTAGGTCATTTAAGTATGGCCAATCAATCTGAGTACCTTTATCGATTTACCTTACAAATGAAGGTACTTAAAACTGAGTACCTTCATTTATACCCCAACTTTCTCCAGTGAAGAATCAAAGCATTGTCCTTTCCTCTGTTTTGATCCTCACAACAACCCTGTAAGGTAGGTTAGGCCAAGAGTATGCCCAAGGTCACCCAGCAAGCTTCCATAGCAGTGGGGGGGTTCAAGCCTGTAGGACTAATACTACCCTTATTTGACACAGGAGGTTGGATTTTTCTTAAGAAAATGTTTGAGGTCTCCCAAGATGTTTGCGGTCTCCCATTATCTGATTTATGCACCTACCTAAACATTCTTAAATATCTAGTATAGCTTAGGAGCCATTTATTTATTCCTAGTTGGAACCATTTTTTAGCCTGTAAATGTAGCCTCTCTGTTCCCTTCCTGTATTTTTTCTTAACCCTCTGCCCTGCCCTGCCTTAGGTTGACTTACCAGCTAAATATAATTGGCAACTACTGGTTTTAGAGAGTCCAATTGATGGGCTTCAGAACAGCCACCCTCAGGCTGATTCAGTGTTATCCAGTTATATTATCCAGAAGTATATGCTGGAGCAGAACATTCACGTGCTCTCTTACAGCTTTTTCTCCCCTTATCCCTTGCAGGGTCTCTTGGTCCAGGAGCCATTGGTGCCATTGTGATTGCTGCTCTGCTGGGCACGTCTGTGATTGTGGCCTTGATTGTCATCACCCTGCGAAAGTTCTCTGCTTCTTAAAATCAATAAAAGTTTTTTTTCCTAGTACACACTTATCTGAGCTCTATCCTTCCTCTGTGCCCATGTGTGTTTTCTGTGTGTGAAGTGAAACAAATGATAGACTTTGCACGAACATCTCATTGGATAGACTTTCTCTTCAGCCACCTGAGATCAAGGGTAGTTTGCATGTAACTATTTCTGTTACATATCCTTTGAAAGTGTAAGAACTATCATGTTTAATGATCATATAAGGTGGGAGTTTTTTAGCCATGTGTACAGAGACTGGGAAGACATTGCATGTGGCAGCTTCCTGACATGTACACAGAAACAGACATTTACTCCACTGTTCCAATGTTAAGTATATGCACAAGCCATGTTCTGAAACACATAAGGCCCAACTCAGCATAAGAATATGGAACGCTTCAGCTCGACTTCAGCTCTACCCAGCTGCTCAGCTTACTGCTTCTGCAGTATTTGTCATTGTGGTAGGGAACATGATGATACTGTGTATTTATTTTTGGAATGCCCAGTTTTATGTCCTGTTTTAATTAAATGATCCTTTTAGTCTAAAATAACATGTTTGCCTTGGCTTATTCAAGAAGCTGTTGCCTACTAGTGAGCTTTGTTACTACATAATACTATGATATTGAGTTTTAAAATCCATCTGCATAGCTCTTATTATTGTTCTGCTGGGGTTTGTGTCAACCAGGTATTTCAAGTTAACTTGGACATAAATGTGCAGTAGCAGTGAAAAGCCTACTCAGGACTAAGCAGCCATGTAAAACTTGGCTCGTGTTTCTGAAGTGTTAAAATTCACTCCAGGGTGTGGTCTGAGTGGTTCACAGTTCTAGGCCTCTGACAGGGCAGCAGATGGATCTGAAGAGGCAAATACTTAGGTCTGAACTTGAGAAGCAGACTGGGCCTAAGCAGAACAGTTCCCACATGACACAACTGAATCTACAGTCTACTATGTAAAATGTCTGTGGTGAGTGAATGTGGGCTGCCTTCCCGATAAATCAGGATTTATATTATTTGGTCAGTTATGCTTTTCTAAGGGTCTGACTCTTCCCTGCCCCATTCAGGCCTGTCATTTGTGACACCTACAGTTATGATTAAAAATACACTGGACCACCTTGCTGTGGCAGCTGAAGCAGTTTACGGTTCATTGTGCACCTTTGTGACAACTCAGCAGTCTAAAAATTACAAAGTAACTTCAAGCTTTGAGTAGTTCTGAGAGCTTTTGTTGTGTAGTAGCAGGTATGACTGCGGCTTGGCGAAGTGCGGGGGTTCCTCCCCTTTCCATAATTCAGCCACTACATTACCTTAGCCCTGAACAATTTAATCAGCTACTATTCAGGGGGGAAATTAAATTATGTTAACAGTATCATTTGTAAAAATTTGCTTTCCAGGTTGTAAGGTAGTGCTACTGCCATACGACCCTGCCCTGAGCCTGCTTCAGCGGCCGGGGTGGTGGTGGTAGAAATTAAATAAACTATTTATTTATATTTATTTATTGATGTTTGGAATAACTGTACACGGCTCAATTGAGCTGCAATACGATAATCAGGTTGCCTTCTGTTGCTACAGTTTCCTGATTTTGGTTTTAAATGGAGTTGTAAGCAATTGCTGAAAGCAGTTCTGGGCCCTGGGTTTAAGTCACACCACTCCCACCAATACCCACCTCAGAAATGGTTTGGACATTTCCAGGCAAGCCTCTCGGAAATGGGCCAGTGTTACTAATAAGATTTAACAAGATACTAAAATGGGTGAAGATGGACATATGAGTTAAACCTTTATTTGTCTCCTTTACATGAACCAAATGCACTGCTCTTTATGTCCTGTTTTATTATGCATCGGATAGGTTCCTTCTTGATCAAGGATATGTGTGGGCAAAGAATTTTCATCAATTACAATAGCACTTTTGTCACTCTGGATTTATATTGATAAAACTTCCTTAAGGGTCTAGTTTGAGATTAAAGGCAGTCTACCAATTAAAATCAGATTCAAAGGCTTTGTATGCAGATCTTGAATTCCTCTCTAGCTGAAGAGATCTCTTGTTAGAAAGGCTAGGAAAGATTTCTGCATGCGACCTGGGAGAGTTGCCATCAGACAGAGACAGCAGGTCTACCGGGATGACTTGGTATGGCTGTTTCATAAGTAAATTACATTAGACCTGCAATGTACACAGGCTCCCAGTTACCTTTTTAAATATATTGTGGAAGGGCATTTCAATGATGATCTCATTGGAGTGGAGCAGCTAAATAATCACTACTTACTGTCAGATATTTATGTAACACTTTTTAATATGCAAAGTGCTTTACAATCTTCTGTTGATCTCCACTGTTGCATTTGTCTTTAGTAAAGCTCTGTTCTTTATTTCAGAAACTCCTGATTGTACTAAAGGAGGAAATGCTTTCTTGTTCCTTTTGGCTTTCAGAGGCTTTCCTATATACACCAACTTGAAAGTGCTATACATCGAGTTCATGCACACAGCTGTTTGGCTCAGAGTGCACAGCTAATGAGCAGGAGGCCTTCCTATTGCTTTAGTACACCATTTGCAGACAATGTTTGGTACAAGAAGTGTGTCACCCTCTGCCTCAAGCCTCTTTTTGCCTAGCCCAGTTCCTCTCTGCATAAGCACTGGTCTGTTGTCTGATTATAATCCTCCTGTATTGACAGATGCATGTTGTTCAGAAATATTTGTTAAAATACTGTGATCTGAGTCTATATGTACATCAGGGAAAGGCAATAGGTTATACAGAACTTTGCAGGCCGCAGAAGACTCTCCAGATGTAACAGAATGTTGTGTGCGTCTTCACTGTTCTTGTTTTCCAAGGTGAATAATTCCTAATCATTTGCAAGTAAAGTAGGAGTAAAATGTATTTATGGAGCAACATTTAATGTTCTTGCTTACCCTATATAATTCAGTGTTGTATTTGTTTAGGGGAAAGGAAATCCTAAATACATGCTACTTGCACTGCCTCCATCTTTCAACATATTTGTACACTCATGCACGATTATCTGGGGGCAGAGATGTGTGTGTGTACTTTATTTTGATACGCAAAGGCAGTTAGTAATTCCATTCACAAGAGAAGGATGATTCCTGCAGGAAAGAACCTTCTAGGCCAGGACTGAGTAGCAGCATACCCAGCATGGGCCAAGCAGTGAGCGACAGGGCTGAAAATTCCTACGGATTCCATCTTGAGTTCCCAGTCTTGCAGCTTCTGCAACTGATTCTCTGACTTCGAAGCCTCCCTTCTGTACTGCCTTCTGCAAATGGGAACTTCATGAGGAGACTTTCTTCCACTGATGCAATTACAGAAGAGAGGTCTGCCGGTGTGCCTTGCAGGTAGTCCAAACTTGTTTCCTAAGGAGGAGCTTCCTGAACGTAGATTTCAGTTAGGATGCTGGCAGTTTACATTCTTTCAAAGATACAAAGCTCCTAAACTCCCCGAATCTATCTTTACAATTTTTTTAAAAAAAATCAAACGCTGCACCTTGTGGTACCATTGTCAAAGACAATGTGGTACCAAGCTGGAAGCCTCCTGGGCCTGGACATGTTTGTATTTTCCATTAATTCAGTGTTCAAGGTTTCCTCACCATGCAGAGTCGAGAAATGTATACAGCTGGCAGGATACTTGGAAATACATTTTAAGACTGCTCCTAGATCTGTACAGGTGCAGGATAGCCATACCGCCTCTTCAGAGGCATCGTCCACACAGTATCAAGTGTGCAAAAAAAGCCTGCTGGCTTGGAAGTGAGAGGAGATGCAAATATCCTGTACTGCTTCCCTGTTAATGAATCCCGATTGCCTCTGCCATAAGGTGCTTTTCAAGCAGAACAGACAACTGTACACAGTAATTATTGTTTGTTTCTGCTGCCCAGTTTTCTTCGCTGACTGTCATCCGTCTTGTGCACACGGAAACACTCCTTTAGATTCTGGGATCGTATCTTGGGGTTCAGGATTTCTTCACCCATAGAGCTGGGGAACCAACCTCTTTCCTGATCATGCAAACGCTCCCCAAATATCCAACCTGCATAAAAGGAGAATGGAAGTGATGCATTGGTACAAAGAGGTCATTTTTAAAAGGCATGAGCAGCCCAATTTGTAGTCCTCTATAACTCACTGGGTTGCCATCTGCTGCTTCGTTTAAGTGTAAATAAACTATCCTAATGAAGGGAGGTGTATTCAGCTTGGGGCTAGCACATGCCTTGCAACTGATTTTTTGGTAGATGGAGTATGAAAAAAACAAAACACCCATGCCTCATTCATTTCCTTAAGTATCCCAATTAAAAGGTCACATCCCACTCTCTGAAGAACCCTGGATTATATTTCTCTATAAGCAACTCTACCACTCAAAAGCCTACTGTTCCAGCTCCTCTGTTATAAATGCGGGATATACACTTCTGTTTCAAGACCAGCTTGCTTATGGTTAAAAGACTACTGTAGGGGCACTGAGACCGCCAATCCTTACCATCATCAGTTTTCTCCAGGATGTTCAATACATCAGCCAGTTCCAGTGACAGCTCATCTGGCTGCTGAGCCACGTAAGGATGGACACACTGTATTTGGGGGCAATCTGTCAAAGCGGGGGGGGGGGAAGAGTTAAGACAGAGTCCAATGCTTTGCGAATGCTATAAAGTAAGCGGAGCCTGAGGAAGTGTTGGGTGATGACTAGACCCCACCCCTATGAAAACACAAGAAAACGAGTCCAGTGCAGAGCGACCGGGTCTACTGCCACTCTCACCCAGAGCCTCACATAGCATTCACAGTATGTGATCTGATCTGCAGCCTAAGCTTTGATGAACGTCTGCTGCTGGGATCACTGTACCTAAAAAGGGGCACGCTGTATGTGTGTGTAAAGTGCTGTCAAATCACAGCCAACTTATAGCAAACCCTGTAGGGTTTTCAAACAAGAGACGTTCCGAGGTGGTTGGCCATTGCCTGCCTCTGCATAGCAGCCCTGGAATTCCTCGGTGGTCTCCCACACCACTACTAACCAGGGCTGACCCTGCTAAACTTCTGAGATCTGATGAGATCGAGCTAACCTGGGCCATCCAGGTCAGGGCTAAAGATTTGCAAAAAGTAGATAAGGGGGAAAGGAGCATACAGTATATTCCTATGCAGATATACTCTGAAGAATACTATGGGACTTTCTCCATGGTAAATATGCACAGCACTGCAGCCTTCATCAGGCTGAGTCACTTTAGGAAATGCAGTAATGAACTGGCTGGTTGCTGTTAGTGATAAAATTGTCCATTCGTTTATATAAACACACTGTGTCCCAATTCCTCTTTGTTACAGCCTTAGTGCAAGCGCCCTTGTTGAGAAGGTCACTTCAGTTCTGTCAGCTTATTCATCCCAGAAGCTTTCCAAATATTTATTCATATGGTGACTGTACAGAGCACATGTTGTTGTAGGTAGGGCAGTGGATCAAAACTGTGCTTGTTGTTGGAAGTCAGTGTGGTTGTCTCTAAGCACACAGTCTCCTACTTGTGCACCTATGATGAAAAGCTGGGTACAAAGAGCTCACCTGAGACAACTTCCACTCAAGAGCCTGTGATCTCATTGCAGAGGCTGGCTATGGGGTAGTCATGTCCACAGGGACATCACGGCCAGAAAATGAACAAGGATCTCATGGAAGAAGGCTTAACAGGTAGATGTAAAATGTGGAATCATTCTGGTGATGGCTGCAATGGGATGGGTGACTAGGTAGCAGACAAAACTGAATAGCAGTTCTGGAAAGCCTGACTCAAACCTTGAAACTGACTGACAATGTCACTTAAGTAGGATGGGAAAGAGAAGGTAAGATGGGTAATTTTTACTGAACCTGTAGGGATAGATGAGATGGATTCAAAAAGCTTTTGCTTCAGAGGCCAAGCCAAAACTGAACTTCAAATTCAGTTTCAACCAGCAATGTTAGCTGAATAAAATACAACGTGACCTGGGTCCTTCAACTGATATTGCTGGACAGCAGTGAACAAAGAGAAGTGACACGGTCTTTGGACAAGGCCTCATGGCAGCTCCTCACCGTCCAACCCTTTTCCCTTCCCCTCCTTACCCATGAGCCTGGACGTAAAGGAAACAAACTTGGTTCGTCGATTTGGAGCCAGCAAGATCATCCAACGCTTCATCTCACTTCTGTAGGGGTGGGGGAGGAGAAAAGAAGGGAGGGGGAGAGAGAGAGAGAGAGAAAGAAAATGAGTTCACCCATCATTAAGAGCCGCTCTTAAAAATCTTTTCAAAGGATGGGTCTACCATCCCAATTTTTTGTGTGTCAAAATCAGAGGGCTTGAGGGTTTTTTCCTGTACTCTTCAGTTCTGATAGTGTATATATATGTCTCTCTGTGTATATATATTATACACACACACACATTCCATTTACTCCCCCCACCCCAGTATTTTCTTTACCCTAGTCTGGCTACAGCTCCTCTGTATGTGTGCTCTTTTGCATTGTGAACAGGGGAAATCCACGGACTATCACTCAGTGGTTAGATTCCTGATGCACAAGATAAGAGATTGAGCAAATCTGTGGCAACCAACAATGAGAGAATCCAGCCTTTTTACAGAAAGACTTGAGGGGGAAGGGGGAGAGAGAGAGAGATCCCGTTGCCCCCACTCCTTCATAATTCCACTTCCTTGCAGGCATCCATTTCTGCAATGACCTGCTGCAGCCACTCTTTTTCTTGCCTTCCTGTTCTACTCTCCCACCTTTTCTGCTATTCCTTGTTTGCTGACACTTCAAGAGGTCTTTATGTTTCCTTTTCCCTTTAAAAAGTGCGTGCACAAGAAAACAATCCTTGTAAAAAATATGAAGTTTATTTGAATAATTTTCAGAAATAGTTTTATCTCTAGGCGACACACCACTCTAAAATCATACAACAAAAGAAAACAAGAAAAACTAGCTTAGCGAACACGTTTGAAACCTGCCTTAGATGGCACAATCTTAAAGTCCCAAAGACCATAACTTAAGTGTTCTCTACATTGCTGTCCATTGCAATATAAGCGTATCATAGTCCAGGCCTTTAGTCCATCAGAATCCAAGTTAGTTTTCCTTCTCCAGGCTCTTAGCCCAATTATAGTTTTTTGGCCAACTAGCATCAGGCGATGACAGGGCTGCCAGGTCTGATCATCGTGCTGGCAGGGGTGGGGAGCAATGCTTCCTCTAAGCTTGTGAGCAGAAATTCTACTTTGTGAGCTACTGGCATTGAAGTTGTGAGCGAGCGATTTGGCTCTTGCATAAATTAGTTTGCTCTGGAGCCATCCTTCCTGAGCTAAGACTAAAATGTGTGAGCTGGAGGCTAAAAAACTGTGAGCTAGCTCACACTAACTCAGCTTACAGGGAACACTGGTGGGGAGGAGCACTGCAATGTGGCTACGTAAACCAGAAGTGACATAGGCACGTCAGGGACGTTGGGGAGGTGCTATGGTTTGGGGGCAAATCATAGAGTTTTGCCCAAAACCCAGAGCATCACCCTCTGGCGTCCCTGACATGCCTACGTCACTTCTGATTTTTGTAGGCATGTTGCAATGATTGTTGGGCTCCTGCTTGTAAGGGCGGGGGATTTGGGGAAGGGGAGAGGAGCGTCTCAAACCGGGAGACTCCTGCCTGCACTGGGGGGTCTGGAAACCCTACGTGATAATGGCAATCTAATCAGGACACGTTCTTGCTGGAACCCTCTACAAAGTTAGCTCATCACTCCTGATTCCCCCCTCCCATCCAGTGGGCTGCAGGTTTTCATGAAGAGCTAATTATCACATTCCTAACTCTGGCCTTGAAGATGATAAGGGCTATGTAGGCAAAGAGGCCCAATTAGCAACAACTGCAAGATGGAATAAGCCAGTTACTATTCACATTAACCCTTGGGAGGAATCAGGGGTGCTTTGCCTGAAGAGAAGAAAACACAAACTTTTCCAAAGCATTGCTGTCCCATTTTTATAGTACACTGTTTGACTGACATTGAGGTGTTAATCATAGCTTTAGTCTGTGGCTCCAAAACCCAGAAAGCTGTGAAATTGCTAAAATAGATACTTGTTACTTCAATATACGTGATGGAGCTAGGAAGAATTTTAAGCAACATACAAATGGAAGGCAGCCTTTTTTCCCAGATGCAGGGAAGTATACTTCTCTGCAGTAATAACCTGGAAATGAAGTCTGTGCAGAGGAGAGCATGAAGGGGCATGCCTTCAGACAAGCCCCCACAATACCTCAGTGCCAAGAGACGGGAACAAACTCAAACACACCTGCTTTGGCCCCCTAAACCTGTCATGTGGGCTGGAGGACAGCTGTGGTTGCTACGTGTTTGTTTGAGCAGGGCGCTTCCTGACTGAAGGCCATGGCTGTCCCACAGCCAGCTCTGGGAAGACTCTGCCAAAGTGTAGGAGGGTGAGGTGAGGGGGAAGAGAAATCCTGTTTGCCCACCATCCCCCTTTCCAGGATGTTTTGTTATGGGGCCTCACTTCTCAGTTCTAAATATTAACACACACAACTGGAGAAAGTCTCTGTTGAAATGACTGTTGGACTATAGCACTGAGGACAAACCTTACTCAGTATATTTAACAGAACATTAGCAGCAGAGCTAATTTGCACATACCCAGAAAGCATCTTACCACACTACTCAGTGTGTGATTTTGTAGAGAAAGCACAAGTGTTGGAAGCAGTGCCAGTGGGAAAGAGACAGGAGCCTATGAAGTGTGTGGGATTTTGCACAACAGCCCCTGGGCTTGGACTTATTTGAGCTATGCTACTGGTGCTGTCTTTATTCTTTGGAGTAATGAGATTGGTATAGGGATTGGTTCACTCCCCATATGGCTGGCAGGTACTGATAGGGCACACCTAGCATACTTAATACCCTTCGGATCATTTGATGACAACTAGATGGCACCATCAAAGAGGAGAGCTGATTTGTTATTTGCTATTTAGTATTTGTTATTTAGCTGTTCAGCCTCTGTCTATAAATTTGAACTCTACCTTCCATTCCAATGTATTTGGAAAACTGTGCATGCACACGAAAGCTCATACCTTGAATAAGCCTTTGTTGGTCTTAAAGGTGCCACTGGACTCTAAATCTGTTCTGTTATTTAGTAGATTTAGTAAATGAAAAATGTGATACCATTATTGAAAATGGCACGTATAAATTAATCACAGGTTTGCGGGCTTATCATTCCTACGACAGACAATTTAACCTACACGCATGTTGGTGGCAGTTAGTTATATAGAAGTATTTTTAAACTTTAGTGCCCTACAGTTTTAGGAATCATTGGAAAACTGTAATGGAAATTACCCCTATAAAAACCATTGGGATGTATCCTGTGAAATGTGAACAGAAAGAACTCACAGAATATCTTCTCCATACACCCCACCCACATTATCTATGAGGGCTGGGAAACCCTTGGGTGGGATGCGGCAGACAGGCTGCAGCTAGCGGGAAGTCAGAAAAAACAGTTATCTTCTTCTTGTACACAATTTCTTCTATAAACTCAACGTGTAAAAGAGTGCATATGTATGGTTTTCTGCCAACTCCCCCCCCCCATCTTGTTGCAGTAGTCTGACACTTAAGAGCATTGGGGTGGGGGGAGCAAGAAGCAGAAAGGGGCCATATGAGGAAGGGAAAAGGGAGCAGTTCAGTGAAGTCACTCTGTTCATGGAATCAAATGTTATACATTTGCAGGGGAATAGGCCTGGGAACATGCAGGGGAAATGTGGCAGATTTGATTGCTTACTTATTTACAAGCAATTTTCATGGGCTGTATTTGATTATCTAGGGTATGGTTGGGACATTTATTTAATCATATATTACTGACTGTGGGTACTTCCCTGCACCCTGTCATTGGATTCTATCTTACTTTAATTTTAATTATATTGTGCTGAAATTGCTGGCAATTCTTTCAAATTACCACTAGGTGGTGGGAATGTGCTGTTTATATGGCTACAACATTTGCTCAGAGAACACAGAAGAAAACCTCCTTTGAAAAGAACCTGTCTTTCATTGTCAGAGGTAGGGAAGAAGAAGAAGAAAAAATCCAGTTGTCACAGGAGACTGTATTTATTGTGCACAAACAAGCAATCCTTGAAGGAGAGCCACAGTTCACAGACTGGTCTTTCAGTAAAGAAAGACCAGTCTGTGAACTGTGGCAGAAGCCACATCACTCATGTAGGTTATACATGAGTATAACCTCATTAGTTGTCTCATCTCATTCCATGGTTAAATCCATTACAATTCAACCATGGAATGAGATGAGACAACTAATGAGGTTCTGATGTTTGGAAGAAGTTCTTCTTACGAAACAGAAGTTTAACTCCGGAGAATTTTGTCCATCTGGAATTGGAATTGCACAAAAGAAAAGATTGAATTATATATGCTGTAATTTTGTAAGATTATAAGTGTCTTTTGCATTATTTACAGCTTTTTTGGTATTCTTTAATTGTGAGTGACTATATGAGCTGTACCCCATTTTTTGCATGAAAGTTCGACATGGACATACATTAACTGAACAGGACAAAATTAGAAAAGATGGGAACAATGCACTGAAGAACTATACAGAAGAGATAAAAGGATGTAATGCTCAAAATCTTATGACAAAGACTGTTGCCATATATGGAATGAGAAATGCCAGCAGTTCAAGCCAGAGTCAGAAAAGGAAGTGGCACTAGAGATTATATTGCAAATTTATGTTGGTTACTGCAGCATATGAGATAATTTTAGAAGAAAATCAGCTTGTCCATAGATTACAGCAAAGCTTTTGACTGTGTGGATCATGAAAAGCTATGAATGGTTTTGAAAGAAATGGGGGTGTCACAACATCTGATTGTTCTGATGCACAACCTACAGGACAAGAAGCTACTGTTAGGACAGAACATTGAGAAACAGAACGGTTTTCAGTTGGCAAAGGTGTATTTTATCTAACTATCTCTTCAGTCCATATGCAGAACACATCACAAGGAAGGATAGATTTGATTTAGGTGAACGTGGTGTGAACACTGGCGGAAGGAAAATTAGCAATTTGAGATGCGCAGATGACACCACATTACTGGCACTAAATAGGGAAGATAGACTTGAAATTACTACTGTTCAAGGTTAAAAGAGAAAGTGCGCAAGCAAGATTACAGCTGAACATCAAGAAAATAAAAGTAATGATTAATTAGGAATTACACAGCTTTAAAACTGACAGTGAAGAAATTGAAATTGTTCAAGATTTTCTATTCCTTGGCTCCACCATCAATCGAAAGGGCTACTGTATCCAAGAAATCAGAAGGCGATTGAGACCGGGGGGGGGGGGGGGCCCAAGAAGAGCTCAAAAAAAAAGATCCTTAAATGTAAGGATGTGTTTCTGGCAACCAAGCTAATTCACACTATAGTATTCCCCATTACTATGTATGGGTGTGAAGGTTGGACAGTGAAGAAAGCTGACAGGAAGAAAGTTGATTCATTTGAAATGTGGTGTTGGAGGAGAGTTTTACAGCTGTTGTGGCCTGCCAAAAAGACAAGTCGCTTTTATATCAAATCAAGCCTGAACTCTCCCTAGAAGCTAAAATGACCACACTGAGGGCTTTTCCACATCCTCATTTTCAACAGGAACACGCAAGGAAAATGAGCATGCAGAAAAGCCCTGAGACTATTGTACTTTGGTCATATTATGAGAAGATGAGACTCACTAGAAAAGACAATAATGCTAAGAATAATGCTAAGAAAAGTTGAAGACAGTACAAAAAAGAAGAAGACCCAACAGGAAATGGATTGACTTAATAAGGAAGCCACTGACTTCAGTTAGCAAGATCTGAGCAAGGCTGTTAATGATAGGATGTTTCGGAGGTCAACTGGCTCAAAATTACTCAGTAAGTTTCCATGGCAGAGCAGGAATTCGAACCTGGCTCTCCCAGATGCTCATTTGACGCGCTAACCATTATGCCATGCTGGCCGTCTCTCTGACACACACACCCTACTCATACTAAAACAGTGAAGGAGTTCAGTCAGATGATGAGCCTTGGAATCAATCTGAGCAAAGGAGGACAATGCTCCTTTGGTGGTTCAATCAGTGGGGGAATAAGCGCTCTGCAAGAACTGTGTTGCCTCTCTGGTCTCCTTATTTGTGACTGGGGCACACATGGGTTTATTCCCTCCTTGCTGCTGCTTCTCACAAGTTGGGGTTGGGGAAGGGCTTCCTAGTAAGGCCCTCCTTCCTATAGCTTAATGCTTTCCCATTTTAATGTCACTGTCCATTAAAAAAGGTTTCAAGAATGTGGATCAGAATTAAATATGGTATTTGGCAGAAGCCATCCACCTGTCTAACTGTATAATAAATACAGATCATTATTGAGAGGCCATTCCAGTCAAGTGGCCTGCTGGAATGAGGGCTCCTGCTTATGGAACACTGTTTAACACACATGGTGTTCTGATTTCAAGGTGGAATACATTTCCCAGTACAGTACTCAAGGGAGAAAGTCTGGTTGATTTATCCTTGTTCTACATGGAGAAAGACAAATCATGATTGACTTGAAATCTGTTCCCAATGTTTGTTTAGCAACATGTATCATTATCTGTTTGAGTAATTGTTTACATGACTAAACTTCTAATTACCACAGAGAGGGAGACAAAGCTAAGCAGAAACTGATCTGTAACCATACTCAAAGGATGTGAGCCAGAAAACTGTACCTAGAGAGCCATCTTCAGAGAACCTTGCATCCTTTCCCTGTTGCAACTGTTAGGACACATAGCAAAGAATTGTCTAAGGCAAGGGCATGCTGTACTCACTGGGACGATGCTTTTAGCATATAGCTGACTTCACGGTCATCTGCATTTTCCAGCAGCCTCAGGATGAAGACATTGGCCAAGCTCTGCCCCTGGTCCTCCAGCTCCTCCACCCGAAGAAGCCCTCGGGGAGCAGAATCAAACACCTGGTATTTGTCACTGTGACAGAAAAGAGGCATAGCTGGGGTATGGTTTGAAAAGTGTGACACAGAAGCAGCCAGAATATTTTTACATATTCAGAGAGATCCTCTGGAGGGTACAAGCATTTAGGTCAAACCAGGCAAGATGCTGAAAGGTCTATATGAAGGGGCTTTCTCTCCCATGTCCTTGAATTGCTAAGTACTAGCCAATTTCAACCGAAGCCACAATGCAGGGTTTTAACTCTTTCCTCTGGCACCATTTATCTGATCTCATTGTTTCTCCTTCCCATTCATGTTTGTTTTAATAATTGTTTTGTGTACATGTATGTGTGTTTTTAATTCATTTTAATGATTTTATTGTTTGCCACCTTGGGGACTCTAAGTTGGCCAGAAAGGTGGCCTAAAAATAAATATATAAATATCAAATGCATTCCAAAGCTGCTGTTTTCCTAGTTGGAGGGAAATGTACGAGCAACCTTTATGTTTTAATCCCTAGGACAACAATTAGCATGTAGGTGCATGAAGTTAATTCCCCATGCATCACAGCCCCAATATTAGGGGGGGGGGGGGGGGCTACTGCAATTTATTAATTAAAACCCTCTTGTTCCAGCATCTGCCCTCTTTTGACACTGTACGGCTTGGTATCTAAGGAAAAAACTACATGTATTTTATTGTAATTAAAGATTTTCATACTATGCTATATTTAATGTCAAATGTTTTAAATGTGTCTTTGTGGATATTGCAAAGCCCTGATGGTTCTCCTTAGAAGAAGAAGAAGAGATTGGATTTATACCCCACCCTTCACTACCCGAAGGAGTCTCAGAGCGGCTTACAAACTCCTTTCCCCTCCCCTCCCCACAACAGACACCCTGTGAGGTAGATGGGGCTGAGAGAGCTCTTGACAGAAACTGCTCTTTTTCAAGAACAGCTCTTATCAGAGCTACGGCTTGCCCAAGGTCATCCAGCCAGGTGCAAGTGGAGGAGTGGGGAATCAAACCCAGTTCTCCCAGATTAGAGGCCACGCACTTAACCACTACACCAAACTGGCTCTTTTTTCTCTATTGCAAAATGCTTCGCGGGAAGGGGCACTTCACCTCTGAGAAGGTAAAGGAGGGTATTTCCAGTTGTTTCCCCCCTGAAACCTCTCCCACCTACACTGTTTTTAGTTCCACCAGTATTCCAACCTATACTTTGTTAACATGGGCCTAGCACCCCACAAGGCAAAAGCCACTGTAGAGACGGGAAAGTGACTAGCCAGGCAATGAAGGGATAGGCACTTCCTTCTCTCCACTCTATTCTCCGATGCAAATCACCTTATCCCAAGGATGTTTTGCACCAGTGAAGGGCCTTTTGGCTTTTTTCTACAAATGGCTGCAGTGTAATGTGTAGCTTGCACCTAGGACAAAGGATCAGAAGTATGGAAAACAAATTTTGTTCTTTGAACCTCCACATGCTGTTTTCATGACCCTGGAGATAAATATACATTTTACAGAGCTATTCCTCCCTCCTTTACCAAATTACCTGCAGTTGTTCTTCCATGACTTCTAATTGAGCAACCACCTCTTCTTTTGCAACCTATGAGTCATCCCTCTTCATCCAAACCCCAGTCCTCACCATGTAATTCAGGAATAGAGAATTCCCAGTTTTAAAAATTCAGCATAAGAAGGTAGGGATATACAAAGGTACTTTATTGTGCTATGTAGAATCTTTGCTTATTACTAGGTTTGCAATATATTGATATACTCAGGCCCTGGTCACACGGGCCGGATAACGCGGGGGGGAGGCATGGCTAATTGCTTCGGTGCAATTAGAGCTGCCAGAACGCGATCTGATGCGTCGGCGGCAAACCACGGGTCCTGTCCTCCCCGCCTGCGCATTAACGAGGGGCTGGAGGGAAACGCAGCGCCAGAAAATTTTGCAGCCTGCCTGAACTTACAGATTAGGATGCATAATTATTCTCTCTCTGTTTCAGACTTACCCAGGAATTTGCCTGCAGATCACTAGCAAATCATTGAAGAGGAACAAGTAAATTTCTCGGAAGAGTTTCTTTGTCCGGAGGGTACGTGATGTTTTGGGGCCATTCATTTGCTGTAGGTCCCCTTGCTTTAGCAGCCAACGGGAGTGGGAGATGATGGGAACAGACTAGTGAAGGAGATAAAACAATAATCAGAAGTATAATGGAAACTGCAACCTAGCTCCTTATGTTTATTAGTCTGAAGCCAATACTAAAGAGAGACCATTGGTGTTTGCAGTTATTGGTGGATTATATAGCAAACATTTCCAAACCCACTGCAGAGAATACTAGTAATGGTTTATATCCAATGGCTGTTTTATTGCATCAGAAAGACACTTCTGTTGGAAGGGGTTGATTTCTTCCAGTTCCCCTCTCCCTCACCATTGTGCTTGACACTGTTACTGAAGGTCCCCTGAACTCCAGGGACAGTTTTAGGGGCCATAGTGGAGCTACAAAAGGGGAAGACAAGAAAGCCCCATTCTATGAGCTCTGTTCTCCTCAAGTTTCCTGTTTGATACAAGCCAGTATTTACTGTGCCTAAAATTAACTACAAAGTGTACAGAAATGGTTTGAAGACTAAAACAGTCCTACCCCAAGTTCTACAGCCTCATCAGCTAAGTAATAGAAAGAAGACAGGGTAGATTAGAACCCATGAAATGATAGAAATAAGCCAGAGAATGCTAACCAAAATAAACAGGATTTAAGAGACTTTTTTAAGGCAGAAAGGAGCTAACCAATTGCATCTCTGTAGCAAGAACATCCCACATAGAAAAAATGGCTAAATAAAAGGCATGCCACCAAGCTTAAAAAGTGGGTATATGGTTTTAAAAGAAAGAATATCAAGAATGTAAAAACATGGAGAAGCAGAAAAGTGAAAGGGAGCCAGCAAATAAATATACTTAAAATGTTATAACTTAGATATATAAAACAAATAGTATCTAATTAAGCGATAAAAGAGATCACATTTCCAAGCAGAGAAAAGAAGTCAAGCAGCTGAATGAAAAGCTGAAATAAAGATTCAGGAATGAGAACTCAATAAACAGGTAAAATTACAATGAACTTGCTACGCAAGGAGGGCGGGATATAAATCGAATTTAACAAATAAATAAATAAAAATTAAAGAATGACAAAAAATGGCAAAGAAGATAATGAATTTTAGAAAAATTATGACATTGATAGTTACATATTTTAGCAATAGAAGAAACCCAAGACAAAAATGAAAAATTAAGCAAAATTCAAGTTGGTTTCTAATTGGAAAGGATTAAATTCCAAATATTTGTGGGGACTTTTTCGAAGCAGTGAAATCATAGTTGAGGAAAACTCAGTGGGACATATAAAAATGAAAAAGAGAGAAGGAGTAATCCACTGTAAAAACCTGGAATAACCATATCAAGAAATCAAATAGTGGCTTTAGAAAAGGTCAGAACAGAAGATAAAAAGAAGAAAACTAAGAAAGTAAAGCAAGATGCAATAGCAGAGGACCATGACAATGGATCTAAAAGAATTGAGAAATGAGCAGAGGATGGTTTATCTAAGAAAAATTGTGCAATGGACACATTAGGAGATAAAGATATGACACAAAGCAAATCAGGATTAAGCAAAGCGTTAATATAGTACAAATGATGAACTGAAGAAGAATAAGATGATGGTTAAAAAATAAAATCACTCAATGAGACAGCAGGGGGGAGGAAATAGTATGCTTATAATAAAAAAATTAAAGAACAGATGAAATTTACACCATAGTAGCTTGGCAAAGCAAGAATGCATGAGCAAAGAAGGCGTAATTGGGGAATAAGCCAAGACTGCACAGAAGTAGTATGAGGGGAACAAAGTGATAAATAACCAGGAGAACCAAAAGTACATAATAAAGGAGAGCGAAATGGTGAAACATCGATAGTAGATGTTGTAGAAACAGAAGACAAAAGATGTGTCCAGTGAGCAGAACAGGGATCAGGTTGCAAAAAGTAGAAATCACAAACAGACTTTGGATGGAGAAGAATTGAACAAGAGACTAATTGAAATTTAATGATCTTCAGAAAGGAGTCAAGGAATATTAGAAAAATTCAAGAAAAAAACATGTGAAGGTCAACACTAAATCAAGTGTGTGACCAGTTCAGTGAACGACAACAAAAGGAAAAAGACAGAACCCTAAAGTGTCAAAAGACAAGTGCAATTGTATCAAAAGCAGAGATTTTAGCCTATGTCTTTGGGGGGGAAAGTAAAATGAGAGGAAGGAATTACCATGAACAACTGAGGCTTTATTTGTAAAACAATAGCTATTCAATAACACACATGGGAAGGAAAAAAGATAAGCATGAAACAGGAATCAAATTCAAAGCACAGCAAAAAAGGGGAGGCAGCAGAAAATAAAACCGTCAGGGTAAGTACATCTAAAAACCCCTCCAATAACCACACAAAGATAGGTCATAATCATATGCCATTGACACCTGATAAATACTGTAAGCCATTGATTTTAAGATTCTGAAGAATTACTTTCCTTTGAAAATAATTTGTTACAGGATTGTAATAAAGATTTGATAATCATCTGCACTATAGATTGCTGAAGATGAATGGGGGTGAAATTCAACAACATCAAAAGAAATGTGAGAATAATGCAAATATACAGAAATGGATCTGATCAATGGCCCCGGTCACACGGGAGGTTTTGGCCTGGAAGAGGGACAGATCGGGGGCGCAGCAAACGGGCGTGAGCACACCGCAACATCTGGGAATCGGCGCGCACCCATCCCCGATCCGTCCCTTCAGGCCTAAACTGCGCAGTAACCCCCCCCCCAACAAAAAGGTAGCACCAACCGGAAACGCCGCACCAAGCACGGCTGTCGGATTGCCGGAGCACCCGTCTTCAGGAGCATTTGAGGCTCCCAGCCGAACTGTGCATGCGCACACATGCGCAGCCGGATGCCTCACACTCCCTTCCGTGGCTTTCCCCCGGCATCTAATTGTGCCGGGGAGCAACTGCGTGGCGGCTCACGGGATCTATCTGATCCCGCCACCGTGTGTCTCTTTTGGTGCAGCTTTAAAAAGCCGCACTTTGGCCGCATCAACTTCCCCCCGTGTGGCAGGGGCCAATGTTTTTCAAAATTATTTTGTGTAAACCTGAAACAATCCTTTTAGTAAAATGCTATATTAGTGATGACTTAAATAGGCTTAGAAGGATGTAACTCTGCTTAAATTATATATTAGATTATTAAATTTTATTAAATATATATAAATGTTTAAAAAGTGGTTCAGCCAAGTGTTATAGGTGTGTTATTTTTTCAGCAAACTTATTAATATTTGCTGGTGATGCTCTACAATACAAACCTATTAGAACAGAACTAAGTAAAGGCATTACTGATCATGAACTTCCATTAAAGCCATTAATCATACTGCTATGTGAACTGAAGAAAACAGTAGGAATGAAGGAATCTTAAACTCGTTATCAATTTCCTTCATGCAGTAGGTATTAATTTGTTAGAAAATTAGGAGGAGGCTGTAGCTCCTAAGCTAAAACTGCTTGGAAAGGATCTGGCAAAAAATGTAAGATGACAGGAAGGACATCAGGGTCAGGAAGGGTCAGCGGGACTATAATAGGCTACTAGAGCACTGGGCTTATTCCAGTACAACAGTGAGAAGATTTAATGACATTAATACGTATGTTCTCTTTTTTTGTTGAGGAAGGGATTCCCCCCCCCCCTTTAAATGTCTGTTCTGGTCCACTGCACAGCAGGATGAGCTGCTGTTCTCCACTATCACCTTTTCAAGTGCCAAAACAGCCTATGTCAGCATTTGAAAAGGTGCCCCCTCAGGGGGGAGCCAAGATTGCCTGATCCCACCTGGTCACAACATTTTTAAATGGCTGACTTCAGCTTTAAAATGGTATCAGCGTCCATGGGTCAGATCCCTGGGATTCATATAACCTCTAGTGTGACCGAATATTTTATGTAAACTGAGAAGTGGAACAAACAAAGTGTACCACTGCAGGGTTCTTCAGTCTGGACCAAACTCACAATGTAATCCCATGCAGAATTTCTTATGTCCAGACTAGGGATGGGCACAGACCAGCAAAATAGAGGTTCATATTGTAGTTCATGGGTTTCACAGATCATGAATTTTCAGACTTTTTTGTTTAACAGACCAGTCCATGGTTCATGTGGTCCATGACTTTGGGATGTTCTGAAATGCCACCCCCATGAGCTAGAGATGCGAAACTCACAGCAAGTCTCCAAGTGAGGATTGGATTTAGGGGGACCAATTTATGGCCTCCCCAAAGCAGGTGCTCTTTGGGGAAATCACAGCCACAGGTTCAGGAGTGTTTCCAATAGCCTCCCTGCAAGCTAGAGGCAAACCTCCCCGGGATGGCCCTCTACCTGCCCTCCAAGTTGCCTGTACATTGGCATGGGGGGGAGATCTATGGTCCAATGTGCAAAAGGGGAAGAGTCTTTCAAGCACACCCCAACAAGCTAAAGGCATCAAAACCACAGGATGGCCCTCTAACTGCCCTCCAAGTTGCCTGCACATTGGAATTGGGGGGCGGAGATATATGGTCCAATGTGCAAAAGGGGAAGAAGTCTGTCAAATGCCCCCCCCCCAAGCTAGAGGCATCAAAGTCACAGCGGATCTCCCTGGGATGGTCCTCTACCTGCCCTCCAAGTTGCATGCAGATTGGCATTGGGGGAGGGGGGGAGATCCTATGGTCCAATGTGCAAAAGGGGAAAGACTCTGATGCCTCTAGTTTACAAGGGGGGCTGCAGAAGAGCTGTAGAAGAACATCCCCCTGGTTGCCTTAACAATTAATGCCTCAGTGTCTTGCCTACAGACTGCCCCCACAGTCCAAATGGACTGCCTGGAAAAATCTGTGTTCCAAGGACTGAAAACCACAAACAAATGGACTGGGCAAACAGACCACAAACCCGCTCCTGGGCTGTGACAAAATTAGGTCCGTGGTCCGGTCTGTGCCCATCCCTAGTCCAAAGCCATTTAATTTTATGGGTTTAGATTTGCAGTGTTAGTTACTTTAATAAGGCAATTATGGGGAACGTTTGTAGTTATGGTATATGTCAGTATGATCTCCTCAAGATTTGCCACACTATACTTATACCTTGATCTTAAATTCCAACTTCTTCTGGATGCTGATCATCTGTTCTGTACGGCTCATCTTCCTAACACCTTCATTGCATGCCTTCACCACCTAGAAGAAGACAGAGAGAGAGCACTCCACATCCCAAGTTGCTGATTTAGTTTAGAGCTCAAGCTACAGTTTATGTAAAGAAAAGCAATTCCTTTTGCCCATGGTAAAGGAGAATGGAAGACACAGAATGCTATTTTATTAACATCTTGTAAGTTTTGATTTCACACTTCCTTTGAGGAGTTCACAGCGCCATACATAGTTCTCCCTGCCACATTTTTTCTGTACAACCCTAGGAAGTAGGTTACTGTTGAGTGTGTGTGACTGGGCCAAGATCACTCAGTGAGCTTCATAACAGAGTGGGGATATGAAACTGTGTCTCTTAGGTGCTGATCTGTTACTTTAAGCACTACACAATGGCTCGCTAATAAACAAGCAAGCACCTCCCAAGTTTGTATTCAGAAAGCATGGGCCTGGGAACACCGATGGTGTCTTATGGACAGAGACCGGTCCATGGTTCATGTAGTTCATAAACAGAGGATATCACAAGTTGGTTTGGTTAGAACTGGTAACCCCTTCTGATCCCAAAACAAGTTTGGGTGCCCAAAATACTCCTCCCTCTATCTGGAGTTGTCCTAGCTGCGTTATTTCTTCAGCCTCAGAGCACCTGTCTAGCTATCCTGATCCACCTCCCACCTCCCACCTCCCCACCCTCCTAGGCTATGAGCTTCTGAGAGGCTGGGCTGTCAGTGTGTGTGAGGGGAACTGAACCCACTTTTACAGAACCCAAGTGCTTTTGCCCCGTCCTGGATAACCCCCAGGCTAGCTTGATCTTTTCAGACACTGGAAGCTAAGCAGGGTTGGCTCCGGTCAGTGTTTGAAAGGGAGACAACTAAGGAATACCAGGATCATGACATGGAGCCAAGCAATGGCAAACCACGTCTGAATGTCTCTTGCCTTGCAGACTCCATGGGGTTGCCATAAATCAGTTGTGACTTCATGGCAAAAAAAAAAAAAGCGCCTCTTTACCCAAGGTAGATTTTCTGCCACCAGAGAAATCTAGTTAGTGCTTATTTTGGGTCCTTTGTTTAGTTTCTGTAACACTTTTAACCTTGTTCTGATATTTATTTCCATATGCCTGTGACCTTGGATGATACCAGTGTTCTCTAGTTAAATAAAGATTTTTTTTTCCTTGTAAAGATCTCAGACTGTGACTAACCTGATCACCCAGGGGCCTAGCCATTCGTCCATGTAAAGATCAAACACCTGGCAGAGCTAGGGGGTTAGCAGGCATGGAAGGGAGGCCTGATGAGGCTGCTGGAGTTGTGAAACAGGCTTGTGTGTTATTCCAGGCATGGAAGGGAGGCCTGATGAGGCTGCTGGAGTTGTGAAACAGGCTTGTGTGTTATTCCAGGGTGAAAAGTACTCAGAACGTGGAGTGATTCAGCAAGAGTGATTCAGCAAGAGTACTTTATTAGATCAGGAACAAGACAAAGAAACCAGCTCGCAGGCCGGTTTATATGCGTTCAGAAAACCCGCCACCAAGCACACCTAAACACACCCCCTACTCCCGATAGGCTATTTACAGTAACCGGGCGACCATTGGTCTCCCGGCTGGGAAGCTGGCCCTTTGATTGGGCCGGCTAGGATCCTACGGATCCTTTGTCTTTCGACTGAAGCTACTGAGGAGTATTGCCTGGTCAGCCCGGGCAAGTCCGGGCATGTCAGGCTGAATGCACTACACGTGGTAATGGCGACAGTACATTACAAGGAGTCAGAGAGAAGCCAGAGATGAGTGGACATCTACGGAAGAGTGAAGAAGGAGGGCGTGGAGTTCACAGTTAAGGCAAATCCAGGTAGATTTAAGGTTTGAAAGCAAGCCTGAAGAGGAGCCTGGGGATCTCCCAGAATTCCAGTTGATCTCCAGACTGAGCCATCTAATAAGGGATCAGGCAGATGATGGCTCTTGGGGAGGCGCTTTGGCTCAAGATGCTCTAACACTGAGCCACAGCCCCTCCCCAAGAGGGAAAAGGTGTGTGGCTTCCAGGTTCTAGAGGGAGAGTCGGTTTTTATACCCCACTTTTCCCCATGCAAAGGAGTCTCAGAGCAGCTCACAATCCCTTTCCCTTCCTCTCCCCACAACAGTTGGCCGAACAGGAACACCGCCAGCTTGTAGTCCCAGTCCTTACTGTCGAACTTGCGCAGTGTTTCCTTGGTGGTGCGCACCATGCGCTCCGCCTGGCCGTTGGTTGCCGGGTGGAAGGGCGCTGACCGGACGTGTCGGATTCCACAGTACCTCGTGAAGTCCTGGAACTCGCTGGAGGTAAATGCTGTGCCGTTGTCGGTCACCAGGGTGTCTGGAAGGCCGTGGGAGCTAAAAATGTGGCGCATGGCTCTGATGGCGGCCTTCGAGGAGGTAGACGGTACCGGCACCACCTCCAGCCACTTACTGTAAGCGTCCACTAGAATGAAAAAGATTTGTCCCTGGAACGGCCCCGCAAAGTCCAAGTGTAGCCGGGACCAAGGTTTGTGGGAAGACTCCCAAGCTCGATCGGGCGCTCGGGGCGGTGCGGGCCGGAACGCCTGGCAGGGTTGGCACAGTTTCACCAGTCTCTCAATGTCCTGATCGAGGCCGGGCCACCACACATAACTCCGAGCCAGCGCTTTCATCCGCACCACTCCTGGGTGAGCCTCGTGCAATGCTGCAAGTACTCGGTCTCGGAGTGGGGAAGGGATTACCACCCGACCTCCCCACAGCACACAACCCTTGTGAGCAGACAGTTCGTCTTTGCGCGAGGCATAGGCCGCAAAGTCGGGTCCCGCCGAGGCCAACGGCCACCCCCTTCTCACCCAGTCCAGGACGCGGCAGAGGATAGGGTCCTTTTCGGTGCGCCGGGCCACCTCTTTCACGTGAACCGGCTGGTCGGGCAGCGTTTCCAGCAGCGCGATGTGATGGGCTGGGGCCGGGTCAGGCTCCGTTTCCGGCAGAGGCAGGCGGCTCAAGGCGTCCGCGTGGCCCATTGCCTTCCCGGGCCGGTGCAGGAGCCTGTAGTTGTAGCCCGCCAGGAAGACGGACCACCGGATCACTCGGGGCGAAGTCATCTGGGGGGTCTGGCGGTCCGGGGCGAACAGACCCAGGAGAGGCTTGTGGTCCGTGGGGACCGTGAAGGGCCGGCCGTAGAGGTAGTGGTGAAATTTTTTCACCCCGGCCACTATAGCAAGAGCCTCCTTGTCAATCTGCGCGTAGTTGCGCTCCGCCGCAGACAAGGTACGGGAGTAATAGGCCACAGGTACCTCCCGACCGTCAGGCAGTTTGTGCCCCAGGACCGCCCCGACCCCATATGGAGAGGCGTCGCAAGCCAGCACCACCGGCAGGTCCTCGTTGAAGTGTGCGAGTACCGAATTTGAGACGAGGAGGTCTTTGACCGCCTGGAAAGGCGCCTGCTGAGCCGTCCCCCAGACCCACGGCGCGCCCTTGTCGAGGAGCCGATGGAGGGGTTCGGCTACTGCAGCTTTGAGGGGAAGAAAAGAGTGGTAAAAGTTCAGGAGGCCTAAGAAGGCCTGTAGCTCGGTCTTTGATGTGGGGGCTGGGGCGTTCGAGATCGCTCTGGTCTTCTCCGCCGTGGGGTGAATGCCCTGTGCGTCGACCGCGAACCCTAGAAACTCCACTTTGGGCACGCCGAGCAAGCATTTTTCGCGCTTCACCTTCAGCCCCGCCTGGTCGAAGCGTTGGAGAACGGTACGGAGTCGGGTGGCAAACGACGCGGCGTCGGGGGCGGTGATCAAGACGTCATCTAGAAAGGGCTGTACCCCGGGGATACCTTTGAGGAGAGAGTCCATGAAAGATTGAAAAATCCCCGGAGCCACCGAGACGCCGAACTGGAGCCGGTGGACCTTGAAAGCCCCTCTGTGCGTGGCGATCGTCTGGGCTTCCGCCGTGGCGGCGTCCACCGGCAGCTGCTGATAGGCCTGCGCCAAGTCCAGCTTTCCAAATATGCGAGCCCCCGCGAGCGCCGCCAGCACGTGGCTGACCACCGGAACGGGGTACGCGTGGTCCTGCAGTGCTTTGTTAATTGTGCACTTATAGTCCGCACAGATCCGGACGTCCCCGTTTGGTTTGATCGGTGTGACAATGGGGGTTTCCCAGCGTGCCGATGCCACCGGCTCCAACACCCCTTGCGCCACCAGCTTGTCGAGTTCCGCCTCGATTTTCGGCCTTACCGTTAAGGGCGGAAACCTGGCCTTGATCCGTATGGGCCGGACCGCCGGGTCCAGGTCCAGGGAGATGGGGGCCCCCGTGAACTTGCCTAAGGACCCATCGAAAACCCGGGGGAATTCGTTGCAAACGTCCGCGAAATCGGCTTGCTGCAGCTGGTGGATGCCCCCGATGGTCAGGCCCAGCGGCTTAAACCACGACATCCCCAGGAGACTGGAAAGCCGGCCCCCCACCACCAGAATGTCCAAACAACCCTTGAAGTCCTGGAACTCCACCAGGAACGTGCCCCAGCCCCGCACCACCACAGGATTCTTATTGAAATCCTGAAGCCTGATGTGTGGTTTGCGCAGAGGGGGTCCCCCGTTGGGACACACTGTCCGCAACGTCTCCTCCGAGATAATGGTAAACTCGGAGCCCGTGTCAAGTTCCATGCTACAGGGGGACCCCTCTATCCGGACCGTAACATGGACTTTGTTTCGGCTCTGACGGGGCAAGTCACCTACCTGGGGCTGGGGCTGGTGGCCGACGGCATTTGTGTCGATCGAATGGAGGTCCACAGTGTGGATGGGTTCCCACTGGTGGCTGGGTTTCCTGGGTGGCTGGCGGCGGCTGCGGCAGACCTTGGCGATGTGGCCCTGCTTGTTGCAGGACCTGCAGACCGCCTCGCGGAAACGGCAGCTCCGACGTTCATGCGCGTCCCCGCAGCTGGCACAGGAGGAAGCTGGCTCCGACGGCCTCGCTGGCGGTGCGCCCTTCGAACGGTGAGGTTGTGACGGCTTGCGGTGGAGTTGCGCCACTGCCTCCTCTTCGGAGTCTGCCGAATCCCCTCCGGCTTGGGTGCGGTGTA